TGGAGGTCGGGGGGCGGCGCTGTTGGGCCCGCCGGGGCGGGGGGGACCCAAAAAAACCCCAAAACCCGACCTTTCTTGAGCTATAGACTGTGCAACGCCGCTGGTCCGGAGGTTCGGGGGTTCCCTCCGTGCACAGACACCGAAGCCCTGGCAAGGAGAAGCCTAGGAGGCAAGTAGGGAGCAAATTAGTTTTTTCCTCGTTTCTGCAAAAAAGAAAAAGCATCTTCAGCAGAGGAGTTAATATTTTCTAACTCATCATGCGGCACCTCTGCTTCTTACGAAGCACAAACCACATCACTGCACAGTCTGCAATTTTTATCTTCTCATGGTTTTCTTCTTCACCAGGCTGTAAGGAACCGCCGACCGCCCGTAACAGGTGCTGGCGGTTCGTGGCGCGGCCGCTCCGCAGAGGCCCCGACACGCGCCGGCTCCCCGAGGAAGCCCCCCCGTTTTGTATTCTTAAGACGTAACTCATACGTGTCTTGGTAAATTAAGTATGAAAATCACCATTACGTTTAATGCAACTTTTATCCATGGAAAAGGGTTTTTTTTATCAGTAGAAAATCCAGCTCCTTCTTACCACAAAACAACATGGCAACAGACAATCCACTTAATGCCGTTCCGTGTGCATGCACGCCCTATTCTTGGCTGGAAAAAATACCTGTTATTTAGGACACCGTGACATTGAAATAAGATACTAGCTGAAATAACGTTAGGCTTTAAAAGAGACATCACTTGGTTGGAAAGGAAGGCACACTGGCGTTTGAATCGATCTTAAAAATAAGTTTGGTAGGAAGCTAGTAAAATGTTTAACAAATGACAAGCTTAAGGATAAACATAATCAGCTCTGCTCTCCCACCACATTTTTTTCTATCCTGCAGCCCTTCAAAAATATCATAATCATTTGGTGGAATTATGACAGCAAAGACAAAGCATTTTTGTTTTCCCCACGTTCAGTTTTACTACTGAAGTCAACGGCATACTATATATCTGCCCTTTCAGTCTTACTGAGATATATTTCTTAACTTTTACTAATCATGTAACAACTAAATCAAGGGTTTCGATTTTTTTCTTCGTATTTGTCTATAGATCTGTATAAGCTTGCTCATCTAAACAAATCCACAAGAGAAATGAAATTTAGTTCTCTTGCTCCTACCAACTGTTAAGCTAACAGACATTAAAGCGCATGTGGAAAAAGCGTTTATAACAGAATTGTAGTGTTAACTTCTCTAGCATCTTCCCAACCTCATTACAGTGCCGTTTTCTTGTACAGATCCTGTGATCAAAGAACGCTTGCTTGCATTTCTTGGTTCTTTCAGAAGCATGGTTAATTATCCGTAACTATTCATGGTCCAAACATTCAGGATTAACAGCGATGCCCGTTGCTTCAGGGCAGAATTCGCCACATTTGTTATTGACAGTAAGTAATGAGAAATAATCGTCTCCCATTAATGCAGTCATGAAAGACTTACTTCATATGGCTTTAAAAGTGAGAGGCTGCCCCACAATGCAGTGTTCTGCCACTGCTGCGACTGTGACATCAGTGAGATGAGCTGGGCATTCTCATTCTTGTCATTTGTGCACCACAGTCCTGCCAGTCTGATGGGCTCTGCTGTTACAGCTGCCTTATTACTAACCAGAGCGGCAGCCCTGGAACTGGTGTCCGCCAATCTGCTGCCTGTGCAGAGATAACAGGGCTCTGCACAGACACAGCAGACCTCCCACGTAATTTTTGCTTCAGAAAACGGTGTTGGCGTCTAGATAGTTTGCTGCTTGTCCAGACACAACTCAGCTTTGTCACACCCAATTAACGCCTTAATTTGGAATCATGTTGATAGAGATTTGTGCTCACAGGCAGAACTCATTGCAGGTCTTGTGATTCAAATACCTCAAAAATTAATATCCATGAGTAATTTTGCACAAATGAGTAGTGCCACTGAGTCCATGATGGAGGCCCTTCTTCCCTAGGCCAGGCCTGGAAATGTTTTAAAATGAATGTACCAGTTACCAGAGAAAACTCTGCTATGAACTGTGACAATTGTCTTTTAATTACGTTTTTTGTCCCCGGGATAATACAGGCTGTTTTTGTTTAATTCTGAAGAATGCATCACTACAACTTGGAAGTAAACAAGCATGAAATCAGTACGGCCCAAGTATATAACCTGGACTTCATCTTTTCATTGGCCAAACCCAGAGAAAAACCTCATAAATTTAAGAATATTCCACAGCACATCTGCCTTAAGGATCTGATTTAAAGTCTTAATTTCCATAAGTTTTTATTATGATGTTTGATAGACAAGGAAATTTGAACTTCTGGCCCATGTGCACTGCTGTAACTCTACTGACACTACACATTTATCATCAATGACCATTTATATTATACTTCCTAAGTATTTATATCTTCCATTACTGAATTCCTCACAATCTTTAAATGGATTTCTCTTCTCAACAACTTAATGAGGTCAGGAAGAACTGTCACATGCACCATGCAGTGAACAGAAAGGGCAGAACACCCGAGGCTCGTAGGAAGACTATGATAGATCGAGAAACTGAGCACGTCTCTTACCAGTACTGTGCTAGTACCCTGACTCACTGCATCATGCTTCTTTCCATTTGCATGCGTTTGTTTGCTAATAAAATAATACAGAATGTTCCCACTTGGAGACATCTCAGCTGTCAAAATACAGTACTAAATGAACTAGTATTTAAAATTATTTTATAGAGTAGTAGGTGGGCTTGAGTGCTTTTAAAGTGAAGCTGAAGACTATATCTTAGAGCATTCCTAAAGATGAGCTGTCACGACATGTTGGGATGCAAGTTGGGGGTGGGAGGTGGTTTTGGATCTTTGTTATTTTCTTATAAAATGCTGTGCAACTCTTACTACCTGCACCACAAATTCCAGCAAATGCTTTGTGAATTCATCTGCAGTTGAGTTTTATCCTTCAGAGCATCATACTTTATTGAGGGTCTTCATCAAATTCATCACTGAGGATGAAAATAAAATTTAGCTTTAATTCAAAGGCTAATTTAGATTTCAGTACATGATTAACATTCCCCATACAATTACTCCCATCAAAGTCAAGCACATGCATGAATCTTTGCAGGACTGGGGCCAAAATATTCTTAAGTATCCGCTTATTCAATACTTTTTATATAAAGTATTATTCCTATCTATTATTTATGTGAGGGCCTTAACTAGGTAAATCTTGACACAGCTAAGCCTTTCTCTGTAATTACTCGTTTTCTTACTTCTCATCTCACTGCTACTCTATAACTGTTACTTAATCACACCAACACTTGCATATGAATATACTCCTTGAATCCACAAAAGAATTCACTCTTCATAAAGTTACTCTTCTGCATAACTGTTTATAGGAACAGTATGAGCATTCAGCAAACTATCTCAAAAACTATGTTTTTAGAAAAAGTGTCACATCTCCAACAGGTAACAGGATCGATTGTGTAATTTTCTAAAACATAAATCATCATAATGCTAAATCATAATCTACACTGTTATACATTATTGCATCTACACAGCAATACATACAGGAAAAAATACTTATTTTTCCATTAAAACACCCTCATTCAAGTGCAGCAGAGTTTAACTGGTCCACTTAAGACAACTGAAATCACCAAAATTTTAATACTATATTTTTTGCATGCAGTATGTACATAATTAAACAGTTTAAAAACATATACAAGTGTAGTATACATAATGTAAATGGAGTCTTGCTGTGAATTGTATCTATCATGATATTTACAATACCAGTCATAATATTTGCTAGCAAGAAAAACAGTAACTGGTTTTTATCAATAGCAGTGATCAGGCAAACGTGCAGCAGCTTGCTTTCCCTTCCGATAGGCATGGCCTCTGTGTCATGCTTTTTACTGGAACGAGGGGGCTGTATAACATTCCAACTAGAGGGTACTCTGGACCCGTTCACCAGAAGCTTTGTAAACAGCAACACGAGATCAATTACTACAAACCAGATGAAGAAAGTCAGGCAGTGAGCAACTACCCATAGGCAGTACGACAGATTAGCCATCCGGCGGGACACAGGGTCTACGTGTACTTGTGACAAATGAAGAAATACAAAGAGCACAAGAACCATCAGAATTAGGACACATATTGCTTTGATCCAGTCTTTGACAAAATTTCTGCTCTTCAGCAGATAGAGTCCAACTTGCACGCTAGCCATGTATATGGCTAGGTATCCAAAAAGAGAGAACAGTCCTTCCCTGTTGGCATTTAAAAATCCAACCCTAGTATCTTTGCCATTGCTCCCATATAAGACAAACATCTTCAGAGAGGTAACATTAAGAATAAGCTGATAAAATACAGCGAGATTCATAGCAACAATCCAAGATTTATTTTTTGGAAATAGGGTCAACAGTAGAGATGCTGCAAGCCTCACAACTGCCAAGGTAAAAAAGAAATTCCAGTGCACGCCGTACTCTGAAATATGTTCATGATACTCTATAGATTTAACAGTAAACAGTCGTCCCACACCAAGAAAAATCAACGGCCAAACAGAAAAAAACTGCCTGGTCAGATGGGAAAATTTTAGCTGTGTTGCACATGACTTTTGTCTAACTTCAGGACAAACAAGAGCATTACCAAAAATAAAAGCTCCTACCCCCAAATCCATAACTCCTGTTCCATAGGTCTCAGTTTTGGCATATCGTCTCGGATACTGCGGGAAATCTACTGCTAGTATGCCGATTGATGTCAACAGATTGATATAAACACGAAACACAGTAATTGATGGAACATATTCTGGATCTAAGTATGTCTTCTGGAAGTCATTTACAATTTGCCTAAAAGACACTCCAGTATCATGTTTTCTTTGGCTATATATTTTAGAAAATATTGCTGCACAGAGAGCTGCAATGACAGGTGGCAATAAAAACATGACTGGAGACAAGACTGTACAGGATAATAGCAGAGGAGATATTAGCACAACGAAGTCTAGCAGCAGATTGTATTTCCTTGAACTTAAAGGTTTCCCATAGTGCAGAAAATATAAGATCAACAAGAGTCCTCTGCAAAGCAGACATAACGGAGGTAGAGACAAGCCTAGTGAAATTTCAAGCAAAGTAGTTCCATTTAAGTTGCTGATAAAGGCTTCTTTCAGCTGTTTTTGTGACATTCTTGTTTTTTCCTATGAAAACAGAAACTTGAACTAGTTAGTTTTGTAAAATAGGGCTCTCAGAACTTCATTTTTTAAGTTATAATCTGGCATCTTTGTACATTTTAAAATGTTAGATCCAAAAATTCCCCCTAAAATTAATCTTACCTACAAGTTCATTAAGGAATACATTCATTTAAAAAAAACCAAAGTTACTGTTCAATTTCAACAATATAGAACAGCCCTAGTGCTGCAAACCCTTATGCTTACACTTAACTGGCCTGTAAAATTAAGCATAGGCATATACACTTGCAAAACTGGATTGAGTTAGCCCTACAAATGTTGCTTTCTCGCAACAAGATGCTTAAAATATCTCCCTGAAGATCTCTAAACAACAAACAATCTCTTGAATGTTGGAATTATGAATAATATATTTTTATGTACTGCTCTGCAGAATACACTTAGTAGTATTCCCTGTAGTGTAAAAGCAACAGATATGCAAAAACATGACCCAGATAAAGGGTCATGCTGTTGCCTGGTCAGTGGAGACTAAATGCATATCCTCCAGCTAATTTTTCATGCAGAAGGCTGTGGTTCTTCAGCCCTTCCTATGGGTCCCACAGCGGGCGTCACTGAAAAACAGCTCGCAGAATGTTGTCCCCAAGGTTTGCATATAGAAAAGAACGATCATGACTGCCCAGAGTTAGCGGGCACTGTGGAAATGTCCAATGCAACAAAAGACAGCAGCTACAGTTTCCTTTTGCAACAGAAGCCGTCTTCCGCATGTCCCCACCCCGCAAGCTCTGCTCTTCCTCGGGGAGCTTGTTTCGGGAGAACACGAGCTGAAAAGCACCGACGATGCTGTTGCGTTTAACCCGCTGCGTGGGTGCGAACCAAGACTCCGCCGCACTAGCCGTACGGGGGCCTCGCTGCCCACGCCGGGCGGGGTGGGGCGCGGAACCGGGGGGCGCC